TACATACATACATACATACACACACACACACACACACACACACCACCCCATATCCCCCTACATCACCCACACATATCACACACACATCACCACGGCCATTCTATTATTTCATTAATACCACATGGCCGCTTTGGACAGATCTACTCACATCAGTGAATTTTCTAGTGACTCCTATCAAAAGATTTAGGTTCGATTGCACCAACGTTATTTTGAATTTTAAGTGGTATGTAATATATAATATATATCACGTATATTATGTATTAAGTTTTGTTTAAAGCCCAAATAATATTGATGCAATCGGGCCTTAATATTTAGAGCTTATTCAGACAAACTTACATAGCAGCATAACCATATGCATAAGAAAAATTACCCAATCGCATTTCTATCATAAAGACACATGTAAAATGCGATTGGATAATTTTCCTTATGCGTTTGTCTGGATAGGCCCTTAGATCCAATTGCATCGGCACTATTTTGACTACGAACAAACTTATTTTCTGCTGCAAAAGTGCAGAGAATTAGAACAAACTTTATATATTGATTGACATGTGATTTACAGGTTAAAATTATTTTAAAAGAGTTGAGAAAGAGAAATCCTTTATTAAGAAGAATTCTATTATAATTTATCCTCTAGTGATTCTGCGAGGAATATTGCAGATATATTTAAACATTATATAAAATCATTTGCTTTTTTTTATTAATTATCACGGAGGATTTGTATAATTACTGAGAATTCTCGTTTCTTGGGCATTCTAAATAATTTTTTGCGATATAATTTTTCCGAAGAATGTTGCGAATATTTGAAAGACAAATTATTCGAAACATACGAGATACAAAAAGATTAAATACATGGTCATCTCTCGCCACGGCGTTTAATTCTATCGTTAATGATGAAAGTCTGGTGAACATATCGAAGAAAGAAACAGTAAGTTTATCTTTGATCGTTTTGTTGTAATTAAAAAAAATAAGTTTTTTTTGTGTAAAATGTTACTAAATGTATTTTTATCAAAATTCAAGATATAAGATCGTTTGTGTTTATGATTTATGTATAAAATAAATAAATTATATATAAATAAATTATGTAATTTTCTAATTGATATTTGGATAAAAATATAGTACATGCAACATATAAATAAATTTGTTCAATTTCATTACTGAATTTCATTACTGAATTACATCTTGCATATATTTGTATTTTATCGTTAAAAACTCTTTCGAGGGATTATTTGGTATTCTGGAACTTAAAACTGAAAATGGTTTTGATATATTAAAAAATCATGCACTGGCGCAAGTTGATATTCTCATCGAAGAAGCAACAAGTAAGAACAGAAAGAGAAAAATGGTAGAAATATTTGATGAATTATCTAATACATTATGTAAAGTAGCTGATATGGCAGAATTTGTTAGAATTGCTCATCCTGATCAACGATATGTTCAAGCTGCTGAAGATGCTTGTATAACTATAAGTGGTGCAGTTGAAAAGTAAGTTCATTTTTTTGAAATTCTATTATACACTTAATTATTAGGCTTTTCTGTATTATTTGGATCAAGTATTGTTGCTCGTTAATAAGATTAATTTATAGTATAATTCCATTTACAAATTATACATTTTATAGACTAAACACACATCGTGAGTTGTATGATTCACTAAAACAAATAACAAGCAATGGTGATACTCAATTGACATCTGATATAGATGATCATGTAGCTAAATTATTTCTATTTGATTTTGAGCAATGTGGTATACACTTGCCAGAGAGACAAAGAAGAAGAGTAGTTGAGCTAAACGATTATATCCTGCAAGTAAATATTATTTGATTACAAATTTCTAATCAAATTTGTAACTGCTTTTCTATTTGATCTTCAGATAGGTCAAAAATTTATGGCTGGCGCTGTTACTCCAAGGACAGTTAACGCTGATGTATTACCCAGTGTCATCAGGCAGCAGTAAGTGCAGTAATTCAATTGATTGTTCCATCATTTAACTAAACTCTATTTTAAAAAATTTTTCAAAGGTATAAGCTTTAGAAAGGTATCTCTTTGATATCAGATACATTTCACAGTTTTGTAACAGAAAATGGTCAGATATTAGTCCAAGGATTTTATACAGACTCTTCTAATACTGCTGTTCGCGAAGCGGCATACAAATTGTTTTTATACCCGGATAAAGAGCAAGAATACCTATTGCACGAACTGTTGCATTCCAGACATTTGCTGGCGGAATTTTGTGGATTTGAATCATATGCACATAGGTAGTTTCATCAAAGTACAATCATTTGAATAAAATAAGTAATTTGAAAACGTATTATTATAGAGCTGTGAAAGGCAGTACAGTTCAGACGCCAGTTGTAGTAAAGGAATTTCTCAATATATTAAATGATAACTTGCAACCTAAAGCGGCACAAGATTTTCAAGAAATGCAAAAAATGAAAGATGCTGAGTCGCGTGTAAAACAAGTTTGTGTCTATCCGTAGCCTTTATATTTATAGTTATCCTTTATATTCATAGTTTGATTTTTCGAATTATATCAAATATATAAAACTAGCGATCAAAGAATTAATTTTTATTTTTTATTATATTTTATATAATAGTAAAATTGTTTCCTGAATTATTAATTAAAGGAATTGATGCCATGGGATACACCATACTTCATAGCAAAGGCGAAAAAAGCTTGGCTGAATACTTCTACTGATGAATTTGCTCCATACCTTTCTCTTGGTGCTTGTATGGAAGGTCTAAATTTCCTCACGCAATCATTATACAGAGTTAAGCTCGAATCCGTCCCAATATTATCCGGAGAAGTATGGGCGAATAATATACATAAATTAGCTGTAATAGATGAAGAGGAAGGAATCTTGGGTTATATTTACTGCGATTTCTATGAAAGGGCAGGAAAGCCTAATCAAGACTGTCATTACACGATTCAAGGTGGAAAGCAGCTTTCAGATAATTCTTATCAGGTATAAAGTGTTAATTTATTAATAACTGAATATATTTTTTTATTAATTGCATATTCATGTTTTTTTATGCCTCTGTTATTAATATATCTGCACAAACATATTCACGTATTCATATTCATACAATTATACATATAATTATAAAGATCTTATAACATTGTTATCATTTCAGAATCCCATAGTTGTAATTATGTTGTCACTACCGCATCCACGTTGGTCAAATCCATGTTTATTAAGTCCGTCATCTGTGAACAATTTATTTCATGAAATGGGACATGCGTTACATTCTATGCTTGGTCGAACAAAATATCAACATGTTACTGGTACTAGATGCAGTACAGATTTTGCAGAAGTGCCAAGTGTGTTAATGGAATATTTTGCGAGTGATTCTAGGGTAAATATTCAATAATATAACATAATGACCAATTAATAGTACCTGTAATTATTAAAATTACAAGCTTGTTAGTATTTAGATATAAAATGAACGTATTAATTTTTATTTATTTATTCATAGGTCATATCGAAGTTCGCAAAACATTTCCAAACTCAAGAACCAATGCCGGAAAATTTATTGTATAAACTGAGCGCTTCAAAGAATATTTTTTATGCTTCTGAACTACAAAATCAAGTATTTTACAGCATGTTGGATCAAGTATATCACAGTGGTAAATTAACAAAATCTACCACCGAGATTTTAGAAGATGTACAGAAAGAATATTATGGTCTTCCATATGTAAAAAATACGGTATGCATTTTTATTTAATTGCGTGCATTGATTCTAAAATACATTTTACATTTACAAAAATTAGATAATCATAATAAAAATTCATATAGAATTGATTATAGCTAAGATTCTTATAGAAAAATGTAAAGATATTTTTGATTTTTTGATGAAATATATAAATCAATATGTGCAAATTTCACTAAATAATCAAATAGATAATGAACTCTATTAAAATAAAGTAAATAATGTATAACTCAAGTTTTAATTTTTAATTGGTGATAGAATGTATAAGTAAATATTATGTTTGATCTCATTTTGTTTATAGGCATGGCAATTCAGATTTTTTCACTTGGTCGGATATGGTGCAAAATATTATTCTTATCAAATATCTCGTGCAATTGCCGCATGGATCTGGCAAACCTATTTTCACGACAATCCTTTCTGTCGATCATCGGGTGATCGTTATCGAAAAGAATGTTTAGCACATGGAGGTGGTAAACCACCATCGCAGTTAGTGTCAGATTTCTTAAACAAGGAAGCTAATGCCGTCACATTTGCAAAATCATTAATCAATGAAGTTGATATGAAAAATCTGCATGTGCAAAGGATAAAGTAAGTTTATGATATAAAGTTTTCTTATACAGATATGTAGCAGATATATAACTTTCGTAAAAGTATTACTTAGTAACAATTGTAACAAAACGAAAATGTTTCTTTTAATTTTCATTTTTGGAATTTTGGAAATTTAGAAAAAATGTTCTTTTACTAGAAAAAAAGTTGACAATTATACAATTACGAATTCTCAAATAAATCTGTTAATGAAAAGTATAAATGGAACATTCTGTAAATCCCTTTTACATTTCACTCTACAAAATAAAAGTTTTATATTATAAACAAATGATATTACGATATTACTGTTATTATTAAGCGGCGTTAATTTTTCTTTTTCTTCTTTCTTGATTGTATTTTATTATAAGTACAGTACCCTTACTCTCTATATACAATTTCGATAAATCTATTATTACAAAAAAATAAGTTTTATAGTGTCGTACAGATAATTGAGAAACGCAGTATATAAGATAATGCGAGAAGATATCAAGTTCATATACTCTACCTTCACTTCCTGAGGTTATCCCTAAATCTATACATGGCAATATGAAGCTATTATCTTCTCTTGCTAGAATGAGCGCAAGTGATGTACCAAAACGCTATTTTGCTGTGGCAGTACTATCTTCTCTCGATTAAAAAACTACCAATAGTCTTTTGGTATGCATTTACATAACTGCGTTTGTATTTGATGATTAACAGATTTGTGTTAAAATTCTCAGTGAGCAGTCTGTTGAAATAAGCTGAACATTCTTGTCAGTAAACATTTCTGCATTCGTAAAATGTATTATTTACTAATCTATTTTATAAATACATGGACATGAAACAATTTAACAAGCCATTGAATGATCATTTACTCTCATTTCTTAGCATACTTTTTTGGTAATGATGATGTATGTATATTCTTTTAATAACAATTGCGATTCATATACATCATGTAGTTTCTTGCTTATTGAAATCTTATTTATTTTACATCATTTCGCCGTTATGTAGTTAGAGCTTCGATTTAAAATAAATTGGACACTTTTTACAAAAGTTTTCATCTTGGATTATACTATTAATTAAATCACAAATTCACATACTTTGCCTAATATAAAGATGCAATGTGTTTGAAGTTCTATTATCATGGTTCTAAAGAACAATGGGAAATGTTAAAATTCTTTTTAAAAACATGAAGTAAAGAGATATAGCAGAAATAATCTATAGATTTCAGATCAAAGATAAGAACCACGATATCATATATATATATATATATATATATATATATACTATATATATATATATATATATATATATATATATATATATATATATATATATATATATATATATATAGACATATGTCTTTATTTTTGTTATAAATACTGTACTGTGTTGTTCTTTTTTGAGTTAATTAATTTATATTGCAATTGCACTCTTACTTTCTATTTTCATGGTAATGTCACAATATGTATACATTTTGTATTCTTTATTACATCCTCTTGATTGTATGTTGTGAAAAACTGTATTGCATAAAAATTGTTATATTCTAGGACGTCATCAAGATTATTTTATATCCAAGGTCCTGTGTCTCTTATTTTGCAAATTCAGAAATAACACAACACTGATTAAAAGAGGATTGCAATCATTCAATGTCTCTTATGCACTAAAAAACCGAAACGGGGAAATTCACTGAACTGAGTTTTTTTCTTTGCTTCTTTCCTTTTGTACGAACTGATCACAAACGCTACAACTTTATCCCCAACAGTCAGATTGGTTATATAATCCTTCGTTTGAATCATAATTCATTCACATTCACAATAGACAAACACCAATGGCAATAGATTCAATTTGCTAGAAAAATCAGCGTCGATTTTGTGAGTCAATGTAACTTTGGCATTTGCTTTAGGTTACGCAACATAATTGTATTGATTTGAATTATCCTTATCTCGTTCCATGTAGTCTCTGTCTATAAGAGACTCGATCCGTTTCTTTAAATCTGCAGGCTAAAAAAGGAAGATATTTTATGAAATGACATAAATGACAAATGGTATTAGAATTTCACATTATATTATATGACTATTTTAAATGTAACTATTATTTTTCTAAGATCACACATATTATTTCAAAGACTCGAATAATCATAAGATTAGATTTTCACATTAAATATGCTTAATTCTTATTAAAAAAAAAATAATATATATATATATATACCTTTACAGGAAACTTTAATTGATTGTACAGCTCACTGATAAGAAGATTATGGGTCAGAGTTTTTCGCATTTTCATAATTCTGACAATAGCAGCATCTATCTGGTATTGTCTATCTTGATAAACTCTCTCTTCTGTTGCTTTTTGTTCTTCATTCTGAAAAATGAAAAATGGAAAAATTCCATATTATGTGTGTAAACAGACACTAAATTCTTCTTAAATAATATTAGTTTTATGTATGAATATATATATATATATATATATATATATATATATATTATATATATAATAAATTATTAA